AAATAAAAAGACCCACTGCACCTCATTATAAGAGCATTCTCTTCCCTCCCTCTCTCCCTCCCTCCCTCCCTTCATTCATTCATGTATTTGACAAGTACTCAGCATTCACTATGTGACAAACACTGGGTTAGTCAAATCAACACAGTGGATCCTACCCTTATAATGTCTCTCTAATTGGTCCTTTCGCTTCAGTCCCCCCACCCCCTTCACTATCAAATGCCCAAATTACAGCAATGGTCTCCGTGGTGATACCACTCCTTCCAGTCTTATACCTTTCCCCACAATCTGTAAAGCTAATGTAGAAGTTGGTCTGGCATCAACGAATTCCACAGAGCCTGGACAGAGTCCACCTGGTCACCTCCCTGTAGGAGGCCTGCCCTGTATGGGACTCCACAGAAAGGGTTCCATGGAAGATGGCTCACAGACAAAAATGACAAGATACGTGGTGAAGGCTCTGGGCAGACAAGGCATATTTTTTTGGCCCTTATGGTGCTTATAGTATAAGAAGGGGGGCAGACAGACGTTAAATCAATAGTCGCACAAATCATTATTTCATTTTACTTGTGTAAGCTCTCCTCTGTGAAGGACAATGAGAGAGTTTGTAATAAGGAAACCTGAAGTCATCTGGAGTCCAAGAAGCCTTCCCCAGGGAAGTGACAATTAACCTGAGAACTAAGTAGGAGTTACCAGCTAAAGGAGGGCCTGTTTGGGAGGAGACGGTTGGAAGGACTATTTCAGGCAGGTATTACATGGGCAAAGGCCTGCAGATGGGTTATGTCCAACTTCAGATAAACAGAAAAGCCTATAGCCAATGGATGGGCTGTAATCAGGGGAGCCACACAATTATATGTGCATTTCAGAAACCGCCCCTTGGCTGCCATGTGGGAATCAGAAAGTTGTGTAGGACGAAGGTGAAGGAGCCAGTTGGTATGTGGTTATCAACGATCTGATGGGAGTGTCAAGGGGCGCACTGAAGCTGTGACGATGTGGACAGAGAGGAGGGAATGGATTTGACAGATATTTCGGGGCTAGAATGACCAAGGAGCTAGACATGGGAAGTGAGGAAAAGGGAGTCAAAAGAATGACTCCTGGGTTTCTGGGTGGAGCATCGGGGTGGATAGTGAAATGGAGTACAGATGATTGGATTTGGTGAGTGGAGAGGGATAGGGGCAGCAAATGAGCTTCATCAGGGATGCACTTAGTTCCAAGTTCCTATGGAGATATCTAACAGACAACTGGATGTAAGTGTGAAGCGCCAGAAACATTTCAAAGCTGGAGTTACAGGAAATATCAGCATTGAGGTGATGGTGGAAGCCCTGACAATTGATAGCTGACACGGGGAGAGTGAATTGAATGAGAAGACAAGAGGTTCCAGGACCAAACCCTGGGAAACACAGGTATTTAGAAGTGAACATAGAAAGAGGAGGTAGAAAAGGAGACTGAGAAAGAATGACCAGAAAGGCAGAAGAAGAACCAGAAGAAAGCGTGTGCTGGGTAGTCTCCATTTGTCCCTCCAAAATGACTTTCTACCCTTGTGCATTCTGCTCTGTGGCCTGGAAGGCTGACCTCTGTGGGCTGATCCTCTGGCTTCCAGAGTTCGGCCACTGGGAGGCTCTGTTAGGAGAGTGGAGGGTGGGAGGACAGAGAGCTGATGGTTCTCTGGGCTTTCTCCTGCTGGACTGTGGACTGTTCCTGGCTACATCCCTCTACCAAAGACAACAGTTCCTGCTGTGCACCCACAGTGGCAATTTCTTTTGTCTTTCCAGGCCTAAGGGTGGGCAAGTCTTTCCCGTTGCTAGCCCTTAGGTCCTTCACCTTCCCTTGCCAGTTTCTCTTAATCCTGTCCAGATCTTCCCAAATGGTTCCTTCATTCGACTCTCTCCAGTCATCCGTGTTCCTTGCCATCTGTGTCTTTTGCTGGGATCCTCACCTTTACAGTCATATCACAAAACCACAGAAGTGTCAAGGTAGGCATGGTCTACAGTGTCAAATGCTGCCGAGGTTATGCTTGAAGCCCATGGTATGTGGCCATTAGAGGTTGTTGGTGACTTCTACTAGCACAGGCTAAAGGAATGGTGAGCTAGACCACAGTGCTCTGACGAGTCAGCGGAGAGTCACTGACCACTCCTGTGAGGAGCCTAGCTATGGAAGAGAGAAGAAGGTGGTATTTTGAGGGAGCTGCAGGGTGGTGTTTTCTTTCATTCTAATGTTGAAGGGATTCGAGCATGCCTTTGGTTTGTGGGAAGGAGCCATTGGATAGGGGAGGCTTGGAAGAGCCGGGATGAGAAACAGGAATGGACCCATGCCCAGGACTGCAGCAAGAGCAGACAGGAGGGGTTAACCTTGGCTGCAAAATGCTGACTTCTTAAATTGGAGAAAAGGAGTGAGTGTAGATATGGATAGGAAAATATTTACTGCTATGCGGTAGGGGAGTGAGGCAGTTTCTTCCTCATAGCCTAAATTTTCTCAGTGAAAGTTCAAGGACAGGGAAATTTCAAAATGGTACTTGTGAACAGGGACCAGTGAAGGCCTCAGAAGTTTGCTAAGATAAATGAATAAATAATTGATGCAAGTGATGTAAGCCAGGATAGAGAATGTGTGGCAAAGTGCTAATGTCATGAGATGAGGTTAGAAAGGTAGGATGTGTCTAGATTATGCAATTTGGTCTTTAAATGATGGGGAGCTATCAAAGGTTTTTGAGTAGTGGAAAGATGAACATAAGATTATTTGGGGGTGAGTGAGGACAAGGAGAAGTATGAAAGGTTACAAAGAGACCTTAAAAGCAGGAAGAGAAACAGAGGAGCACACCTCCTGGGAGCCCCAAAGGGCAAGTCAGGCCGAGGAGGGGCTAAGCAAGGATAATGGTGGAGTCCCTTTTACTTTTACCAAAAAAAAAAAAATCTCTTGTTTTCTTGAAAATTTATTTCTAATTTACATTTCATTCTACAAAATGGTTCCTCTTTTAACATACCATATTTAAAAATGTTTAGAATTGCCCTGAATCCCTCCAGTTTTGTAGTTTTCATGATCAACCTTCCAAAAGCTGTACTGTTCTCTGTGCAGAATTCAGTCAAATCTGTTGAGCAGTTCCAACTAAGTGCTTCAATCTATATTACAAATGTGGCTTGAATTCCCTTTGGTTTTTAAGTTCCACATCCGTGTCTTTGTCATAGTAGAGCCGGTCCTCACCTAGAGAGCCAGGTCCCATCAGGTGGCTCTGGGTCCGCATTTGAGTATAAAAATTAGAGTCACTTTTTTCTGACTGCAACAGCGTCTCCTCTGAATATTTACTCCCATCTCTATCGCTGCAGGGCTCCTGTGTTCTTAGTGAACTGGTTTTATTCGGAAGCTCTTGTAATAATGGCAACTGGCTCTTGGGATCCTCTTCAAAATATTCCCCTCCTCTTCTTTCACACTGAAGAGCTGGTTCATCACCAAAGAATTCTAACAGTTGTGTTTGGCGTATAGCCTCTCTGGAATCATAGTCCTCAAGAGGCCCTACAAACCCCTCATTTGCATCAGTGTCCATAGGGTTGGAATTCATACTTCAGAATCTTGTTGTGAGGGTCTTACATTTTCCCCTACAGTGAACTGGAAAAGAACACTGTTTTGAGCTGTGTCTGTTCCCTGAATGAAAGGCTCACATGTAGAAATGTCCGAATCTCTTTCACGATAGGCACTCTTGTCGGGATCTGAGGGAACTTCAGCAGAACATGGTGGTGTTTGTGGTAAATTATCCACAGTGAAAAATTCTAAGTCTCTGAGTGAGCAGTGCCACTCTACTGCCTCGGACTGAGGAGCTGTGACATAGTCATAAGCGAACACGCCTGGGATCTCATCCCTGGAAGGACTCTTGCCCAGTGATCCCGTTAAGGTCAATGGATCCACACATTTGTCAGCATCAGAGGCACTTTCCAGATGACTCTCGCACAAACCAGAGTCTGGACCAGAAATGAGAAGTTTTTCAAAATGATCCTCCTGATTCTCACATTTCCTCTGAATCTTCTGGAAGGTGGTGCTGTCCTCAAGATTCTCGAATGACGTAACATTGTCCTTCCTCACCTCTGAGTCCTCATCCTCCGGGGGCTCACTGGCTCTACGGCCCTCCTTGCTGTCTGTGTCTTCTTCAGTCACATTTCTTGCATCCTCAGAACTTAGCGAACTTAGAGTAAATAAAGACCCTTCATCGGAATCGTAGTTGGGGTCCAACTCGTACTGTGTGTCAGGAGCATGTTTCTGCATTGGTTCCTTGTCAGCGGGAGTGACGGGCAGGTCACTGCCCCATTCTGGAGGAAAGACCAGTGGCGATGAGTCCCTATCTCCTGGGTCACTGCATGTGACTGAACTATAGTAGGTGGAAAGCTCTTCCTCAGCAGTGGCCCCTTTGAGCCTTTGCTGCTGTGGGCTCAGCACACTAATGGAAGCGCTCACTTGTGTTTCCTTAGAAGATGCTAGAGGCAACTGTTCAGTGCCCTCTCTTTCCTCGTTCTCTCCAGGCCTCTGTGTATGTGTTTGCATTTCAGAGAGAGCAGCTGTCGTTTCTCTTGAGAGGGGTGGGTCTAATTCATTCGAATCCTTGTGGATTGAGCCAGAGCCGATTTGTGATCTGCCAGCTGGCGCTGGGACGCCCCCTGAGTGCTCACAGAGAGAATCTTCCTGGGCCACAGTGTCATAATGTATTTCTTTAGGAATAACATTCCTGTAGGTGTGGTTCTGTCCTGCTGCAATTAGTGCGTTACTGTCAGCATTTGACTGTCCATGGAGGATGGACTGGGCTGCACTGTCATGTGGTAGCATGATGCCTTCTGTACTTCCTGTCCCAGTGGGGTTCCCACCTTGCTCCCTGCTCTGCTGGCTGCCAGTCTCCTTTCTGCGTGTTCCCAGAGTTCTGTCAGCAATGACCACAGCGTATGGTCTGGCCTCTGTCTCACAGAAAGGGTCTTGGTTCTCACGGGGGTTTAGATCCTGGCGAGCTTGGCGCGGATCCACCCTCGTGTACTGTGTGTTCTCCGCAGCTTCAATCTCGTCATAGAAGCCCTCGTTGGAATAGGCATTGTCTGAACCAGAGCTTCTGTGCTGGCATCTCTGTTGCCACAGTCTGTCAACATAAGGCCTTGTCAAAGCCCCCAGGCAGAAAGCCACGAAGAATGTAATGAACACCGCCAGGCAAACAGCCAGGGCCAGGTCCTGGGAAGCCTCTTCCTTTCGGTCAGCTGTTTGCATGTCCCGGACGCTCCTCACCCTTCTGGACAGCCGTCCCTGCCGCTCACTGGTATCAGAGCTGGCATGTGGTTTTCCCCCTGGAGTGGAAAAACTAATGTACATTCCTTCCCGGTGCCTCTCAGCTTTGCTCTTTATGAGGCTTGTCACGTGATTCAGATTAGTGTGAAGAATGTGGGTCTTCCTGGAAATTCTGCTTTTGGGAGTCCACCAGTATGCCTCCTCATTCCCTGAAAGGGGGGGTAAAAACACACATTGACATGAGAGTCCAGTGGTATTAGAAGCTTCTGTGAGCCCCTGTCAGTCTTATCTAGCTGTCTTTAATATACATGATGCCTATTATTATTAATGTACATGATGATAAGCAGCTTTACCGACCGACTGACTGATTGTCTAATGCCAATAGCATGTATATGGCTCTGTGCAGATTTACACGTGGCTATCAGGCTGAGGTCTGCTGCTCATAGGCCCAGGGGGTCGTGTGTTTCTGAGGCTTCTTGACGGATGGCTACCTGTGGGAGGAAAGAAGCCAGACTGGAGAGACAGCCTCATTGCTTCTCCATCCTCCACAGCCTCCCCTAGTGCATGTTTGTGAGAACATTCTATCAGCCTCCTGCAAAACCTACCTCAGCCCTAACCAAGTTTGCAGTATCATTTCCTCACCATTCCCCAGTGCTTGTAAAAAGCAAAAATACTCAGTTTTCTCTACTCCTGATATTCTCCCCTGCACTCTCAGAATGATAGTTGTGTCTTTTGGAGAAGAACGAAATAAGTGTGGCTGACAATATTAAGACATCTCGCTGATCTTCACAGATTTCTTCTAAACCTGGTAAGCATGGCCAATTTTCTACTTTACTGTCAGTCCTGAAGAGAACAGAGTCCAGAGCTCACTTAAGAAAATCTGACTCCCCCCCCCCACCCCCAGTTAGGAGTTTGAGATTTAGCCAAGATAGTTAATAGTGGAAAAAGCTTTCCAGAATGTTCAACTCCAGTAACATACTCTAGCGCTTTGGGAGAGTGGCAGGGAACAAATCAAAGAAAACTATACTTTTGAAATAGTGTAAGTTATATATTTTAGAGTGTTAGCACACATTTAAAAAAATCATGTTTCAAGCTTTAGAATTCTTTCTTTAACCAATTATTTGTTGAGAATTAGGATAAAAATAGGACATTTTGGGGTTTCAGGGCACAATTCCGTTCTTGTGAAATTTCTGTTTTGGACCAAATCCAGTGGTTTCTGAGCTCATTGAACTAGGTTTCTTTGACCATGTGAAGAAAATCATTCCTGAATTGAGGCAAGCAGTCTGGTACCAATGACTGTTCTATGATTCAGCCCAAGGCTGACTAATGCTGTGGATCAGCAGCCTCACTGTTATTGTTTCAAAGGAGACTAAATTTTTCGTGTGCTTTTTTTTAGTTCAGCTGGAACCCTTTCTGAGAGATGAGGTGCTACTGACTTACCTATAGCCTTGTTGCAGATTACATTCCACTGCTTTCTCCAGGATTCAGAAATGAAATTTTGGAAGACTGCCATGCTCTCGTCACACTGCCATTGGTTACCTGCCAAGCCAGCCTGCAGATGGGGAAGTTCTAGAGCAATGATCATTATCGGCAGGACGGTGGTCAGAGCATTGTTGCTGAGGTCTACAGTCTGCTCAAGAAGAAACAAGTTTAGGGCAGTCTATGAATAAAGACACTTAAAGACAATAAATGAGTAACACATACTATTGATATCTCTATGGAGGCAATAAGAATTTAGCACTGATTTGGGAGTCGGGGAACACGGGGTTTCAATCTCTCCCCTGTTGCTAACAACTCTGCGAGCCTCAGCAACGTGTCTACTCTCTATGAGCCTACCTGCCCAAGTAGTTGTTAGGATTAAATCTGTATGTGAAAGTTTTAAGTATGGTGCCTATATTAGACGCCCAATCATTTTCCCGTCTTTCTTTCCTATGGGTTGTGATTTGTACTGTCAGATAAAACGTAGACTCCCCATTGTTATCAGGGTCTAGAATTAAATACAAGGTCTATAATGTCTAGAAGCACGGTGATCTTGAAAGTGGCAGAAGATACTAGATGAGGAGGACATAGAACACAGAAGAATTGTGGTTGACTAGAAATAACAAGGAGAGGTCATTTGCATTAAGTATTATCTCAAGGGTAGTAGTACATTTCTCTGCATCCATGGCTACTCACTTCATACAAGATGACTAATTTTTCTAGTCTAATTAGAAATGAAGGGGAAACCAGGGAACAAAAAGGATTCAGTGGCACTAGAAACATGGAGACATATCTGTTGAAGTTGGACATGGCAATGACATGATACAGCATGGAAAGCACAGATAGATGTGCCTCTAGCTACCATTTGCAGAGCACTGCTGTGTAATAGGCATTCTACTGGGTACTTTACATAGACTATCACTAATCCTTCCAGCAAATTTCTCATTTCCCCCTTTTTTACAGAGGAGGAAACTGTGCTAGGTCACCCAGTATACCCCACATAGCCCCTAGTAATAGGCTGTGGTACATAGCAGGTGCCCAGTAGATAACGGAGACAGGAATGAATGAATGAATGAATGAATGAATGAATGAATGAAAGGCAGTGCTGGGATCTCATCTGGCTTCACAGCCATGTACCTTTTACTCAGAACACGCTGTCTTGGAGCCTGAGCTCCCACTGCACTGTGTGGAGGAGGCCTGGGGAAGGAGGCACCAGAGTGGGATCTTGGGATTTGGGGAAGGGCGGATGGTTATTAGAAGAAGAGAAAATCGTAAAAGAAATAATGCAAACCTTGCTGAAAAATAAAAACAGGGCTATGGATGAAAACCAGAGAGGCTGAATGTTATCCAGGTCAACTGTTTTATAAACATCAGGAAAAAGGCAGCATTGATACCTTGGGTTATATAAATTCCTAAGAAGAGCTGATTCAAACAAACAATCAGCACCATAACCAAGACGATTACATGTAAAATCAGAACTCTCCCTGAAATTAGGTAGTGAGGTTGATCTTTCCAACGTTGAGTAACTAAGCAGCCTTGATTCCCAAAGGAAAGTTCCAATAATAGGAAGTAGGAGACTGGGTTTGGGAAGAAAAAACCCAAAACTTTGCTTTGGCCTGACCTTGCCTGGGATCAATAGTTTTCTTATGTACCACTCCTCAACAACAGAGTGACATATTCTAATGTTTTTCAGGTAGTTATTTTCTTTTTAGTGCATATCTGCATTGTTTTTATTCATTCTAGCAGCTATTATATTACAGGTCATGTAACTGAGAGCAAAACTGGAGAGAGAGGACAGAAAATGTAAGACGACTCAGGAGAAATAATTTCTGAGAAAAGATTAAAGCAGAGTAGTTCAGTTTGACTAAAGAAATAGCCATCCGCCATCATTTGAAAGGATTGCACATTATAGAAAGATCGGGAGAAGCATATAATGTTGCGACACAAATCACTAAATCTAAGACGAATAGAATAAGATTAAGAAAAGGGTACACAGCAGTGCTAATTGGAAATGCCAATGAAACTTAATTTATCTAAACATGATGATGAATTCATGCTTTGAAAAATCTATCTGGCTTCTGAGAAGATTCCGCTATGGGAAGACATATTGTACAGTGTAAGTATTAAATTAAAAAAGTATTAAAAGTATTAAAAAACATCCATTTTAATATGCATCTTTCTGGTACCAAATATGTTCATCATGTTTCAAAACCAGTTTTTAAGTTATTGCCAGACAGAAGGAATAACAGAGAAGGAGAAATTGTATAATTCTGGGTGGTTCAGATGAATTGAGAATTATTGATGATTTAAAACATTCTTGGGGTTGTTTTTTAGTTTGCTTGTAGCATCCATTACACATGAGCTGCAGAAGACTTATAAAGCACAATAAAAACACATAAGAAATATAACAGACATAGGGCTATTACATATACAAATATATTTATAATCAGTATACAATATACTAAATGAGGTTCCCAGGCAACCTGACAACCTATTTGTGGTGAATTGGGGAGGACTGCCAAGTTAAGGGGACTTTCTCAGCTGCTCTCGTAATTACTGTGGCAGATAGATTCTAAGATGGACCCCAATGATCCTGCCTCCTGGTATTCACACCCTTGAGTAATCTCCTCGAGTATAGACAGGGCCTGTGACTTGGTTCTAACCAACAGAATGCACCAAAAACAATGGAATGTCACTTCCATGATTCCGTTACTTGAGATTGTAATGGTCGTACTAGCAGGCTTTCTTTGGGCTCTGAAGCAAGTTGCCAGCCGTGAACTGTCTTATGGAGAGGCCTACATGGCACAGAGCTGAGGGTAGGCTTAGCCTGACAGCCAGTAAGGTACTGAGCCCTCAGTCCAACAGCCCACAAGGAACCGAATCCTGCAAACACTCCTGTGAGCTTGGAAGTGGATTCTTCCCCAGCTGGGCATTCGGGTGAGATGCCAGCCCTGATCAATACCTTGATTGCAGCCTCTTGAGAGGCCCTTAGCAGAAGACTTAGCTAACCCTTGCCTGGATTCCTGACCCACAGAAATCATGAGATAATATATGTGTGTGGTTGTAGACTGCTAAGTTTGTAGTCATTTGTTATGCAGCAATAGATAACTAACATACCTATCTGTGATCATCATCCATTCATTCATTCCTTTGTTTAGACAAGTGTTTTAAAATATATATTAGGTATTATACAAATGCTAAGCACTAGAAAACAAAATAAACATGATGTATATTCTCAAAGAGCTAGGAGACTGATTATGGGGCTATAGGCATTAACAACTCACCAACCTAAAACTGAATAATTTCCGTTATGGTAAGTTCATTGTGAAAAGAGCATGTCATAGTATAAGCGTGTGTAAAAGGACAACCGATTCAATTTGCAGGCCCAGGGAAAGCTTCCTTGAGGAAGTAACATGGGAAGGATTGATATGAGTTAGCTCTTCCAGGCAGAAGGTCAACAAGTGGAGAGGGCTTGAGGTGAACACAGAGGCAAAGAGTGCTGCTAGCAACGGGACAGTTGAAATGAGGCTGGAGAGGCAGGCAGCAGCCAGGCTTGTGCTGTCAAAGCTTAGAAGGGTTTTAATGAAGAACTGGCCCAATCAGATGTGTATGTTAAATGAGTAGGGTACTGTGGTCACTTCAGAATTTCTATATGTAACCTACAATTTATAATGAGCTTACTGTATTCCAAGTACTGTTTGAAACACTTTATATGTGTTAAAACGTGTAATTGTCACAAAACTCTATGAGAAAGGAACCAAGTCACCTCCATTTTACAGATGAGAAAACTGAGGCACAGAGAGATTTGGTAACTTGCCCGAGATCATGTGACTGGCAAAGTGGCAAAGTCTAGGTTTAAATCCAGGAAGTTGGCTCCAGTGTCCACCCCCCCTCACCTCTGCTTCTCTAGTCTCCCTTCAAAAGAGAAGGGACTTGGGGAGTCACTCTGGTAGAAAGGGGATAGTTGGATAATTATCTTGCAGCTGTGCTTGAATACCACTGTACATAAAACTGAGAACACCTCAGCTGTCTATGTCGATGCTAATATGACAGCTGTGAGCCACATGTGGCTATCAAGCATCAAAATGTGACTCGTCCAAATTGGATTGTGCAGTAAGTGTAAAATACCAGGTTTTGAAGACTTAGTATGGAAAAGAGAATGTAGAATAGCTCATTAATGACTTTTATATTGATTATATGAATAAAATAATATTTGTGTATACTGAGTTAGCAATTAATTACTAAATGAAATTCAGCTGCTTATTTTTACTTTTAAAGTCTAGTTACTAGAACATCTAAAATTGTGTATGTGGCTCATACTTAGTTTCCATGGAGCAATGCTGGCTTTTATAAAGAATGGGGATGTGTGATGAAGACTACAGGACAGGAGGCTAAAGATTTTCCTAAGGCACCTAGATGCCACACTGGAGGCCACCCTGGTGTTTCTAAAGGAGCACTGAGGGGAGATTTTACAATATCCCCCCAAAGAAGAGGGGGTGGAGAAAAGTGCTTAGAGGAGAAGGGGCTGAAGTTGCTGAAAATAGAGCAGAGTTTTGGGGGTTCCTCAACTTCACCTCACCTCACCCCTTAAGTGAGATTAACTTCTACGTGCTCCAAAATGTGACACAGATTCCCCCCCAATAGAACAGTATGTGGCACTTGGGAAGTGCTGTAGAAGTGTGAGCTTTTATCACTGTCGTTTTTGTTATTCCATGCCCAGTTTTGGTATGGAAGCAACAGGGTCACTAACATTCAGAGGCCTGGTGACATTTCAGCATCGACCAAGGTGGCTTAGAGGAACCTCCCCAAGTGTTCCAGATTGCATGAGACCCCCAGGACTTTTGACTGACCTTGCAGTTTAGAAGGGAGCCTCGCGAGTAACTGAGATTTAATTTCTTGCCATTTGGCAAGTGGAAACTTGCAGTTGGGTTTAATTTGATTTAGGAAAATAATGTGCCAATTCTTGCAGCTGTTCAAGTAAAATTCATATCCATTACCGAGGCCTCTGATTTTTAAGACAAGAGAGAGACTTCAGCAATTTTAGGGGAATCTTAAAATAGACTTACATTTTTTGATTAATAGTCACTACTATGGGCTGTGAGGAAACTCTTTAATGGACATAGTCTTCTAATGTAATTGCCCATCTGTCTGCATATTTGAAATCTTATTAAGAACTATTTTACAACCTGTAATTTTTTGAGATCCTTAAAGGCTTCTGGATGAATTCTGAATATCTTGTTGCTCTTTAAATAGAGGTTCTCCAGCTGCAGGCAGTTACGAAAATCAGACACACCGATTTGGGATATCCTATTGAATGACAGATCCAAACTCTGTAATGACTTCAGTTTCCATAGTCCTGTTAAAGTTAAAAAGCAAATTAAAATATAAACTGATGTTGTTTACTGCAGCATTGTTTGTAAGGGTGAAAAATTGTAGACAACCTAAATGGTTTTCAATAGAGAAGTGGTTAAACAAAATAAGGTAGATCAATACTATAAAATATAATACTATGTAGCATTAAAAGAGAATGGGGGCAGATCAACAGGAACTGACTGAACAGGAAGGAAAATGTGAAGTTGTATACAGTACAAGTCCAATGTTATTGGAAACACAGAGCCATATGCGAACATATACATATATTTTGAGCAAGTGAAGAAGGCCTGGAAGGAGGTGAGTTAAGCTGTCCGTGGTTCTTACACTTAGGAGAGGGATGGGGGAAGGTAGGGGCGGGATAGTGGGGGGAGGAAGGAAACCTTGTCTTCATTTTGTACACTGTTGAATTCTTTCTTCCAATGACCATGTGCTAATTTTATCATAAAAGCATCAATTTTAAAAATCTGACTTTTGGGGCCGGCCAAGTGGCACACTGGTTAAGAGTTGGCTTGGGAGCGCCAGCTCTGAGCAGCAGGGCCCTGGTTCAGATCCCACATGAGGGCCAGTGATGCTGCGCCCTCTACAGCTAAGATGGTGAACAACAGCTTGAC